AGCATTGTTTACATTGATATAAAATCATAGGAAAAATATGGCTGGAAAGGACTTCAGGACGTCACCTCATCCAACACTGCCCTTTTCCAAGGCAGAGCTGTCCCTGCCTAAACCACCCAGACTAATATTTATTTAACTTGCACTTAAACTTCCAGGAAGAGACTTTTTCAACTTTCTTAAGTAATCTGTCATTCAGAGTTAGAAAGGTGTTCCTGATATCCAGCCTAACTCTCCCTTGTTACAGTTCGAGTCATTACTTCTTGTTGTTTCCCCTCTGGACAGGAAAATGCGATCATCCTATTTATCACAACTTTTTTTTTCCTTTTGGAAGATTCTTATCAAATCCCCACTGCTCAGTCTTCCTGAGACTAAAAAAATGTGGACAAATTGGAAAGAGTCCAAAGGAGAGCAACAAACATGACATACAAGGAAAAATTGGAAGTACTGGGATTTTTAAGTGCAGGATCCCAAAGTGGACACAGGGTTGCAGGTAAGCCCTCAGCAGTTCTCGCATGGAAGAACTGAATCATGTGGAAGAATCACTTTAGGTAACCTGCATATAACTACCCTTTTTTTTTTGTTGCAACAGTACTACATTGTTGATTCCTATTCAACTTGTAGTCCCCAGGTCCTTTTCTGTAGTACTGCAGCCTTGCCAATTGTTCCCCATTTTGAATTCACACTTTGGTTGTTCCTTCCTAAATCCAGGACTTTACGCTGGTGGTTTTTGATGGCTATTGATTTTTTTCTGATTTATTTCAGACCAGGTAAAGACTCTTTGACAGTGACTTGGGTTTTGCATTTGCTGCCTCAAGGAACTGCCTCAGAAATTATCCTGCATTTTGAACACTTTTCCTATTATTGATCGTACAAGGGTTGAAATTATTGTACACCTGGCAAGCGTGCACGTACAGTGTTGCCAACTGTCACGATTTTTGGTGTTGTTCTTGAAGTTTACGCTTCAGGAATGTGAAAAAACTTTGCTTTCTTTAAAAAGCTACATTTTTCAGGTTTATTACACACACACACACACACACACACACACACACACACACACACACACACACACACACACTGTATAGATATATATAAATTTTTACATATAGTTGGCAATACTGCGTGTACATGCAATACTTGTACGCAGAGCGCCCAGGACAGCTGGACCACATCACCAGCAAGCCCCTCCTTCCCACGGGTGTCAGGGCTGCGAGAAGGGCACAGGCTGGCAGCCCCGACCGTTGGGGAAGGAGGCGTGGCTAGACAAGAGGGACGGGGCTGCGCTCATCAGATGAGCCAATGGGCACGGTCGGTGCCCGTGGTTGGGGCGGGGCGAAGGGGCGGGGCAAACAACCCGGGGTGGCTGCGGCGAGTGCTGGGGAAGGGGGCGTGGTTAGGCAAGGGGGCCGGGTCTATGCTAATCAGGTGACGTAACAGGCCGGGCGGGGCTTACAATAGAAGGAGCGGCTGGCTGCCGCGAGAGTTGGGAGGAAGAGGGCGCGGCTAGATGAGAGGGGGGCGGTGCCGTGCTCATCAGATGGGCTAATGGGCTGTCAGTGATGGGGGGGCGGAGCCAGGCGCTGGAAGTTAGTCGACGATTATTTTAAAAGGCCGCGCGCGGCTTCCGGTTCGGTGTGGTGCTTCCGGACGGGGCGGGGCGCTGGCCCTGGGTCCCGTGGAGTGAGGGCGGCTACGATGGATAACCTGCGGCGCGTGCTGAGCGGGCAGGACCAGGACGAGGAGCAGGGGCTGACGGCCCAGGTACCGCTCCGGGCTCGGCCCCGCGCCAGCGGGGAACGACCGTGGCCGTTAATCCGCTCGCAGGCCCCTGGGGTGCGGCAGTGGGCTCGGCCCTTTAGGGGCTCCCGTCTGAATCAACCCCTTCGTGGGCGCGGCCAGGGCGCTTCCTCGCATTGCTGCCTGGGGCGGGGGCGGGGACACGGTTTGCCCCGGGGGATTGCTACAGCACGGCCTCCCGTTTTCACCTGGGCATGCTGGTTTTAAGTAGCCAGAGACATGCTGTGCTGGCATCAAGTCTTTTGGCATGGGCACCAATAACCTCTTTCCTGTCATCATCCATCTGGAGGACGATTGCTTCTCTGGGTCAAGTACAGGGTTGTAGATGAGCATGTGCCACCCGAAATCCGAGCCTGGCTGGCCGGAGCTGAACTCTGAGCTGGTGTCCGGGCTTCTTGCTGCGGCTGCTGCTCCTATGAGGCTGCTGGGCCAGCCACTGTTGCTGCTGGGGCCAGCAAGCCTCCCTTATCCCAACCAGGGTAATGTGGCACACGCCTACCCCAGGGATGAGTAGTGCTTGTCCTTGAGGAAACCAATGTTCTCGCTTGCACCCTGTTTTTGGCCTGTTGTCCCACTTCAGGAGTAAAAACAGGCAGTGGGTTTATCCTAGGTCTGATTGTCACCCATCAAAACACACAGGAAAACCACTTATACATGCCGTTACAATGGCCATTGACTTCAGTTTGCACCTGACTGATTGTCCTAGGAAAACATGTTCTCTCTGTTATTTTGGGTAGGTGTAATATTTTTTATTAGACCAAAAGATATCCCATCAACTTTGCCTACCTATGTTCTACAGTCAAACATGGCTACAACCAAAGCCACCCTCTGGTATTTCACAGATACTTAAATTGGGACAGTGCATGTCCCAATATGAGTCTGTAGGATCCCAAGGTAAAAGGGTTTGTTGTGGAGAAATCCACGTCTGTTTTGAATGCAGACACTGAGGGTAATGTGTGTTAACACAGTTCCTGGGGACAGTCTAGGCCAGTGGCTCCCAACCTTGGGGTACAACCCAAATCAGGGTCACAGGGGGTCTGCCCCTCGCTCTGCCTCTCCTGCCTGTGAGGCCCTCCCGGCACATGGTCTGCTCAACTCTCACTGCCGCTGCCCCCCATGATCCTGGCCCAGCTGGTGGCCCTGGGCATGAGTGAGTCGGGATCAGGGGTTGTGACCTGGATTTAGGGTCACAGGAAAAAAAGATTGGGAGCCACTAGTCTAGGCTCGCTTAAGTTGATTGCCTGAATAGTCAATCCAGAGCTGTGCTGCTCTTTTTCTTTTGTCCCAGGTGTTGACTCAGCTCAGTCTGTTCTAGCCTTGAAGTTCAGTGTGTCTTCTCTTTTCTTACAGCCCTCTCTCCCTGCCTAAATCACTATCTTCTCCTGCTGAACACCTCTTTGATTTCTGCTATTTTATTTCTATGTGGAGTGTCTGAGCTGGAAAGTACCATTTAACAATTGTGCAGGCCTAATGAAGAAAAGTTATTTGGTCAAGTGTGGTAGCTTCTCTTCCACCCAGGAGAGCACAAACACCAGTAGACTTTCCCTATGCCTGAAGAAGTGTTTGTGCCTGGAAGCTTGTAAAGAACAAGTTTACCAACTGTTTGTTTCATCTAATAGAAGATTCCACACTTACCCAGAGAACCTTGTCTGCCTATGTTGTTAGACTAACAGGTCTATAGCCAACTCTGCTGAAGGCCTAATAAAGGCCTTTTAAAAAATATCTGGACATTTGATGTCCTTTGCTTTGTCCACCTAATGCGCAACAGAGGTTTTCAGTGTACTGTCAATAATCATGCCCAAGTTTATTTTCTGCTTATCTAGTGTAGGGGTGCTCACC